TTTTGCCCTCAAACTGGACCATTTCTCGATTTATGCGTGTCATCCTTGCGCAGGGGCCATGCTAATCTTCTCTGTATCGTTCCAATTTTAACGGATGTCCCTAAGGACTTTTTTTTTTCTTTGTTTTTTTTTAAATGTGGCCCACTGGACCAAGGATCAGATGTTAAACTGATCAGAACAGATACTACACTTGATCTTAACCAAAAGGCTGTCATGGAACCGGTATTTCTGCAATTTGCCCGGGTTGTTGTATGCAGCTATAATACTTCTCCGAGTCGCCGTTCCCTGAACCGGGTATTTCTGCTACGATACATCTCAGAACCGGTGTTTCTGCAATTTGCCCTTCACTTAAAAAAAAAAAAAAAAAAAAAAGATCTTAACCAAAAGGCTGAGAAAGGTATCGTCTTCTTCTTCTTTTCGTTTTCTAAAATGACACAGGAACTCAGCCGTTTGCCGCCCTCTCTGGATCTCTGCTATGCCTTCCTTTCCCTGGGGAAAGACCCGATACACGCCAAGTCTTTTCCTTGTTGCCTCAGAGGCGGCGGAGCAGTCTGCGACTCTGCGTCTGCAATTCCATAGAGGTCAGGCGCTCCCCAGTGAACATGACCGCCTACATCGGACAGATGCAGAAATCCTGGTTGTATCTCAGGCGAAATGGGAAGGGCAGACTACGGGGGCATAAAAAAGAAAAAGAAGGGAAAATTTCATTTGTACCCCATTTAAAGATGGGAATACCCGCTATACCCTGCCCCGGTGTCCAACTTGCACGAGTACCCGGAAAATTTTCTGTGCGATTTATTTGTATACCCAGCTGCCTGAGGACGGAGGAGGGCCTCTTGAGTGCCCATGTGGAAGCGACACTATTATTATTATTATTATTATTGTAATTATTGTAACAATCCTACTGTTTTTTTTTTTTTTTTTTTTTTTTTTTTTTTTTTTTTTTTTTTTTTTTTTTTTTTTTTTTTTTTTTTTTTTTTTTTTTTTTTTTTTTTTTAAACGGCGGGGAAGTGTGTGAAAAAGGAGGGGCGTGTCCTATATATAGTATATACTCCCTATTGATTCTCAACGTCTCAACGGTCTCATATTCATCTTGTCCGTTTTCAATTTCATACCTAAGTAGTAAATTCTCCCCCCTTTTGTATTCTATCGTTGGTTACTCTGTTACCATCGGAATTTCTCCTTCGCCTCCTCCTCCATCAGCTGCATGGAGAACTTGTGGGGGGAAGTTGTGGGTGATTTATAAATTTCTTAGTGGTATCTCTGTTTCTTCTGTTCCAGCCTCAGAGGCCTGCTGCCTTTTTTTGCTCCTGTCTTTTCTGCTGCTGTTTTTTTTTTCCTATCTTTCTTCTCCATCTCATTTCTCCCTCCTTCCCACATTCTCCTTCTTCCCACTCACTNTTTTTTTTTTTTTTTTTTTTTTTTTTTTTTTTTTTTTTGGAATCCTACTGTTTTTGCATTAGCCTGTCGTTTCCAATCAATCAAGCCCTGAGCTTTCCTTTCCTCATTAATTGGCCTAATCTCCAGGAGCCACCATGATCTCCAATCAAGCCCAGTACTTGGCCCAGCTATGGGGAGCACAAAAGTATGCTTATGCCCAGGAACGGATCGGGCAAAATTGGGTGCGCACAAAATTTGCCCCGGAATGTGCATAATTTCAATTAATTTGAGCATAATTTGAGCGTAATTTGAGCATTCCGGTAGTTGGGTATATTAATATTAACTGCAATTAGGCGGTTGGCCCTTGGGTTGGGGAGCAGAAAAGTATGCATATGCTTATGGCCAGGAACAGGCGGGGCAAAAGTGGGTACGCACAAAATTTGTCTGGGTATGTGCATAATGTGAGCATTCCGGTAGTTGGGTATAACTGCAATTTGCCGGGACTTTGAGCTGTAACCCGTCCTGGGCCCAGGTCCCACTTACCTGAATGATCGATTTCTGACCGCAGATTTGGAAGATCAACGACCAGAAATCAAGGATCAGCCTACGTGGGACTTGGCCCCTGGAAGGCTAATAAGTACTACAGATGTGTGGGGTTCAGTGCTGGTGGGTCACCGCATTTGTTTGTTTTTTCGGTTTTTTTTCCTTCTGAAAACCTCAGGCAAGGGGGTGGGTAGCCGCATTTATGATCTTTAACCACCACTGTTCTGCCCAGCTAGGGTGCCATCACTTCTGGGGCGAGGTCCCACTAGCAAACGGGATTAGATAAATATCCTGAATCTGGACGTCTTTCCGACAGACGTACAGAAAAGCAGTTCAATCTCGACATTCTGCACCTTTCCACAAACACGTCCAGATTCAGGTCTTCAATCCTATCCTCTTTGCTAGTGGGACCTTGCCCTTGGTTCACCCCCTGCCAGGGATGGGCTCAGCCTACCTGAGGCTGGCAGTCCAAGGAGGGGAGTAAACCAATTGCGTTTCCCAATTTTTGTGATTTTTATTTTTTTATTTTTTTTTAATGCTTTTTTAAGCCCAACCAATTGGATTACCAGGCAAATCTGGACAGCACAGCCTTCCAGGCCTTTTTTTCTTTAATTATCATTATTATAGTATTATTATGCAGAACTCCGTAGCTTGCCCAGCCCGAGTTCAAGCCTCCAACGAGGGAACCTGCAGAGGCTGCACCCGACCTGCAGGTGGGCGATACCAGCCAGTGGTCAGCCCAGCCGGTAGCATCAGGACCAAGCTTCTTCCATGGGCCAGTCACCGTGCCTCCCCTCCTGTCCCCTCCGGTCCCTTCCCCCTATGAACATGGGCAGTCTCTGCTCGATGCCGCTGGGGGAGAACCAGCGGCCGCCTATCTCTAGGTGGCAGGCACCAAGCTTGCCCAGGAACGTACATGAGCCTCAGGGCCTGATGAGGCCAATGGGGATGCCAGGAACGTACATGAGCCTCAGGGCCTGATGAGGCCAATGGGGATTGAACCCAAGACCTCCCGAATGCCACTCGCGTGCCTTACCAACCCGTTCTCTAAAATAACTAATGTGTAAACCACTAGTACCTTTCCCGCGTGGGAAAATAGGGAAAACTGGCTGTTTTCCCGAACTCCTGAATCTTCGGAGGTCGGGCCCGACGACTGCCATTGATAAATCTGATCGGCGGCCGTCATTTCGTTTCGGCCTCCGAAAAATTTCCAATCGGCCAAGGTACTAGTGGTGTAAGGGAAAAATGTTTTCCCCCTCAGGAAAATTGTGGCACAATGCGTTGCCTTTGACTGCCAGTACCGGACCCCACCCCGACACACAAAGACTTGGTAGCCCAAGGGTGGGCAAAATCATGCCCTTTGGGAAAAGAGGCTCGGAAATAGTGGTGGTCATCTAATGCAACGTCTTACGGGACTCTGGACCCAGCTTATTGGAAAAAAAAGAAAGTCTGGGGCAGTCCATGATTTTTTTATTTTTATTTTTTTTTCCATTTTTCATTTTATTTCTTTTGGGACAATGCTCTAATCTATTCGTGGGGAGGCGGGCCCAGCGTTTTCAGCAAGCTAACGTATAACCGAGGCTGGAAAATGGTCCCAGTACTTCTCCAGGTAGACTGTGAGGATCACGGCCTTTTTTTCAATTTAACAACAAATTAATTAATTAAAAAGCAAATTAATTAATTAAAAGAGGGGATAAATTGCGAAATACCCCCGTAAGTTGAGATATATGCCAAATGCCCCTAAAAGATGTAAATAGAGCAGAATGCCCCTGTGAGGCTGTGCCAAAAAAAAAAAAAAAAAAAACCCTTTAAATTTGTGAAATACCCCTGGCATCGGTTGGACCCCTATCTTTGCATTATACCCCTACCGGGTACCATCCATTTGCAAAATGCCCCGTACGTGCCAAGTTTTCCAAGGGCCGATTGCAAAATGCCCAGGCCCAAAAGGCGATGCCCAGATTCCAAATTTGCGCAACGGCCTGACAGGGGCACACCACAAAGAATTCGGCCCAAAAGGGCATTCCGCTCCACCCACATCTTTCAGGGGCTTTTTGGCATACCTCAACTTATGGGGGTATTTTGCAAATTATCCCTTCCAAGAATGATGGCAGCAATTCATAAGCTTTGGGATACAGTAATCAAGGTAAAATTGGGCCCGGAGAGAAGCTGGATGTTTTCACTCATCTGCTTCCAGCGGAGTTCGGACTTGGGTGTGTGTTTCAACAGTTCAGGGGGTGTACCAACTGAGCCAACAGCTCTTTCTTGTTGAGTCAATTTTTTTCATGCTCAGTGTTTGGCTCCGGTAGCAGAGAACGCATACTGTTTTAAGGCTTGCAAGTTGCAATACACACACACATCATCACACAAGTGCACAAGCACACAAGCGCACAAGCGCACAACACACACAAGCGCACAAACACACACAAAAACACAAAAACACAAAAACACAGACAAACAAACAATTAATTGCAGGTTGGGTTGAGTAAATTTGCCCCAAGAAAAGAAAAGAAAAGAAAAAAAGCGCACTTTTCTCGAGGGTATTCGCTAACGTTCGGCAAGGTGCTGAGTCCTTCTCCATCAGTCAAATGCATCCTGGGAAGACTGTTGGGGTTCCCCTTCCTGGTGGGTTGGCGAAAGTGTTGGCAAAACAGTCTGTCACAGTCATCCTTATTTGTGCAAATGCGCTTATCGAATACAGAAAAACACACACACACACACACACACACAAGATAAAAATGGCGGTGCAGACAGGTGATCTATGCATGCGAAGTATGGGTTGTTTTGCACTTTTTTTCTTTTCTTTTTTTTTCTTTTTTCAGGGCAGTATAACGTGCACACATTTGATTCTGTGGGCATAAGTTGTCTTTTCTGTGCATTAGGCCCTGGATGAGTTGTCTGTTTTGCGCATTCGCCCCCGCTAAGACAGCTCGGAATCGCACTTTTCCACGATCGTAACAGTGTGATAGATTTAAATTTGTGTTTGGCTTGGCAATGCTCGTTTTCCATAAGTGGGAGGGGAAAGGAAAGAAGAAGAGAAAGGGTCGGACTCCGTGATATTCTTTTTTCGATGGGATCAGAAATTTTTAAATCGTTTTTTTGGCTATCGCCGTAGTATCACGGCAATGCGTTTGCGTTTTGTTTCTTCTGCCTGAATTTTGTTGGTTGACCACATTTTCAGTGAGCTGAAGCAAGTGAGTGATCTGGTTTATGTCTGTCATGTGGTTTCTCTCCTTGTGACGCAGGCTGCAACGGGCGAACTTCACAATCCGTAAGTCTCGTGCCAATCCCTTTCATATTGGCCAGCTGTGCTGCCTGCAGTCTCCATATTCTTGTTTGTAATCCTGGACTTCGCCTCATCGACGAGGATCTTCTTCGTTCTGGGGAGCATCTTCTTCGTTCCGGGGAGCAGTTGCCTCGTTACTCACTCAGTTTTCACATTTCACTGTGAAAGTCGTGCAGCAACTTGCTGCCCAAAATCATGAAACCAATGCAGGGAATCCTCTCTCTCTCTCTCTCTCTCTCTCTCTCTCTCTCTCTCTCTCTCTCTCTCTCTCTCTCTCT